TCAGAGTTCAAAGCCACGTGACCCATGGATTTCTCTTCAACTGTACAATTGCCATCAATTCTTATTACCTCTACAACTCAACTGAGTGCTATTTTTTTATTTTTTTATTTATTTTTTAGCTGAGTGCTAAATTTCGAAACCAAGTTTGTGTGGGTAAATGAATGATAAATAGCAAAATGGCGAATTGGACGCCTGTACGTACAATCGATGGTCAATCGAATGCCAAATTGAATAGTAAACTCAATTGTTGGGCCAGGCCGGGCTTGACCAGTGGAGCAGCCCAAGCGAGCGAGCGAAATCTGGAAGAGCCTTTTCTCATGTGTCATTTTGCTATAAGAAAGCAAGAGTATAATTTTTTTGTACACCCTATACCGTCTTCCGCTGAATGTAATGCACATGCGTTGAATTCGAGTCCTCAAAAAAAAAAATCGATGATTCGAACAGAACGCATATGCCTTGTATTTGAATATACCAGCTGTTCGAATAGAACACGTGTGCTTTGTTGTATTCGAAAAGAAAGCAACCTATGGTTGGTATTCCTTTCGAATGCATGTGTTATGTTCGGGGGAAGACGGCAGTGTTCAACTCAGAATGGTTGAGTTGAGTCAGTTGATCAATGAGCATACCGTCATATATTAAATGCTGAAATTTGAATGCTGAATTTGAATGCTGAATTTGAATGCTGAAATTTGAATTGCAAGGAAAATAAGCAACAGCCAGATGACAATTCCAGATCACACCATCACATTGAAAGCCAAATAGTCACACCGTGTCCAGAGAGCAGCATTGCACCAATAATACACCAATGGAGGTTCGTAGCACTGAAAAACAATGTCTATGGAGAGCATACTCTCTCCTCTCAACACAAGAGTCCAGTTCCTTCACACTCACACTTGGCGCTCAGCGCCCAGCCTACTCCTACACAGCTACTACAGACTACAAAAAGACAATGCAACTGTTGACATCAGCGGCAGCCCGAAGTACTTGAAGATGTCGCCCATGCAGACCATCGCCAATACAAGGTACGTGCCCTCACATCATCATCATCATCATCATCCTTCACCTATCCCCTCACTTCACCCACACCTGTCCTCTCTTTCACCCGAAGACCACCCCTGCGCCTCACTGTAGTCCAAGCCCACCAGCTATGGTGGCTGGGCTATGGCGCTGCCCTCAGCAGCGCCCTCCTCCTCTGCACGACCGCACGTGCTGCACCTCGCCTCTCAGCGCCAGCCAGCAGCCGCGAGCCTTTGCTCCAGCAGCGCTGCCGCTAGCATGCGAGTGCCTGAATGAGGCTGCCTGGCCAGAGCTCTTTCCTTTATGGAAAAGAGCCGGCCAGCTCTCGCAGCCTGGCTGGGCTGGCCTGGGCCCAGAAGGTTCCGGAAGGCCCGAGGAGTCGTACAGCAGCTACTGGGCTGCTGGGCCTCGTTCGGTTGGGCGCCCAACTGTCTCTGTATGAGGCTGCGAATCACGCCCAGGGCCTGCATTCTTTGGAAAGGCCCGGAGGCCGTGGAAGTGTCTTTGTTGCTCGGCCTGTGTTTCTTTCAACCAACTGGCGCGTCGCAACTGCCTGGACCCCAAATATGAAATTGACAGTCGAGGGCCTCTTGCAAAAAGCCAGGCCCGCCTTCACTTAGGGCGGGCACCTCCGCCTTCACTTGGGGCGGGTAATGCTGCAAACAGGGGCCCA